AGCGTGCCTGGGGTAGTGGTAAAAACAGACTAGGGAGCTGGCTGCCTGGGTTTGCATCCCACATGGCCCCTGCCCTTAACCTCTTTGTCTCTCATTTTCCTTATCTGTAAAGTGGCAACAGGGTTGTTGTCTGGGGGATGAGTCAGTGTGTCTGACATGCTTCTTTCACTGCCTAGCCCGCAGCAAGGGCTCAGTAATTGTTTGCTGTTAACATAGTAAGAGGCACTGACCCAGCGACTCACTGGTAAAGTGAACAAGACAGTCTCTGCTTTTGTGGGGTGAGACAGATCATAAAGATATTAACACGATCATTCCCGGAAATGAGCAGTGCTGTGAAGAAACAAAGCAGGGTGATGTGGAGACCTTGGGGGGAGCTTTAGGTGAGACCAGTGGAGCTATAATATAGTGGAAAGAAGGCTCTGCTGCGAGCTCAGCATCAGGTGGCAGCCCTGGGGCAGATGACACATCAGGTTGTAGTTCTGATAGGAACAAGAAACCCTAAGGGCTTTAAGCAGGGAACTACCTTGATCTTATTTATGTTAAAAGAGGTCATTCTGACTGTGCAGCAGATAAAAGGTGGAGGTGGGAACAGCCATGAGGGTCCAGTGAGTGGAAGGGTGGTAGTGGGGATGAAGCAGAGGACAGAGTTGGGGTCTGTGCAAAAGTCATAGGACTTGTGCAAGGTGGCTGGTTCTGGTGAGATCTCCCTGAGGCTTGTCTGAGGTCAAGCAGTTGCCATCAGGACTCCTTGTTTGGGCATGCAGGTCACATCCAGTGCTCCTCCACCCCATCTTGCTATGTTCACATGGTGTGATGGGCCGCCTCCAGGTTGGAGCCAACTTGCAGCCCATGCCCCTCTATCTGGTGCTCAAGCAGATGTGAGAGTCATTGACTATTGCATGAATATGTGTTCACCGACCTTGAGTGGAACACTGGGCAATACAGAGCTGACCAAGAGCAACCTCATCCCTTGCTGTCCTGGAGTCTACAACTCAGCGGGGGAGCCAGACTCCAGCCAGAGTCACTGTGCCCCAAGGGGGACACTGTGCCAGAGCCATGTTGGGGGGGGGGGCTGGTCTTGAGCTGGCAGAAGGAACAAGCACTTGGAAAGCCCCGGCAGGAGGGAGCTTTGTGAGGCGCTGAAAGATGACAGGTGAAGCGACAGAAGATGACAAGGTGGGCAGGTCCCTCCCGCTAGGCTCTGACTTGGGTTTATGACTATCCCAGGAGCCTTTGAAAGGCTATAAGCAATGAGCAGGTGATTGAGTTTGAGTTTTGAAAAGCTGTCTGACCAATGTTGCAGAAGGGAGGGGGCTGGGGCCAGTGTGGGTCAATCAGGAGGCAACTGTGATCACCTGGGCAATAGGGAAGGTTGGTGGGGGGGTGGAAAGAAATAGTAATATAATAATAAATTAAAATGCATCATAGCATTATGGCTGGCACATTGTGAATGCTTGATAAACATTAGCTATTATTTGCATTATAATTGGTAGGTTTTGGTGGGGAAAACCCTGAGTGTGCTTTTGGATATGTTGACGGTGAGGTGCTTTAGAGTCATCAGAGAAGAAGAGGCCGTAATAGTGAGATGATTTGGGGACTCATTATTTGCTGATATTTCCAAACTGTCCAGTGCACGAGTGTGCTAACCCTCAAGCACACTTGTAGCACTGGCCTCATCTGTAGCACGGGGATGGTAACATCTCCCTCACAGCTGTGTTGAGGAGCAGGTCACTAAGATGGAAGCACTCTGCAGCCTCTTAGGTGTCACACATATGTGGGGTGGTATTAGTATTATTTTACCAATTGTCATACATACTTTCCTCTCCCTCCTTCCCCCACATACTAGTTGGGAGTAGGAATAAAGCTCTCGTGTTTAAATCTGTTACAGGATTGTTCATTTCCACTCAAAGACTTCTTGTGTCATTTGTGTCAGCAATTTTTCTCTTATCCATAGTCTTCCCTGTTTCTCTCCTGTTTCTGTTCTTACCCTCCACCACTCCCTTTTTCGTCCCATGACCGACTCCACTACCCAGAACCCATGGTGGGTTCTTATGCGGACTCTGGGCATTTCTGAGTGACTTAACTGCTGAGGTTGATGAGTTCTTGGATTGAAATGTTAAGGCCTTAGCATAAAATAGGAACAGCTGGTACTAATAAGAGGCGCCACAACAATCCTTCCACATAGCTGATTTAGTGCATATCAGTTTGCCCTACCGTGTTACAAGTATTGGTCAGTGATAACTTTTGCAAACTTTGTAATTCAGCAGTCTTTCCTTGGCACCAGATGAGAGCAATCCTTGCATGCAGGAATGAGTCATATAATAGCACGGGTAATTCTTGCAAATAATAAACATCTCTATCATTCCAAAGATAAACATTGGTGATGGTGTCACTGGGGTTTTTCATAACCTTTTGCAGATTCTTGGCTGTTCTTTTCCGAAACAAATGTGGTGTATGTGTCTGCATTTTAGATACTTTTTCTGTCTTGCTGCTTTATCCTTCTTCAGAAGTATAAGATTTTCCTGTACAAGTCTGAATATCAGCTGACACTGCAGAAGTATAGAAGTATAGTCTTTAAGAGTTTTTGTTTCCAGGGATTCCTGTGCCAACTTCTCGTTTTCTGGATTTAGTGTTCTTGTTTGTGAAATGATCGAGTGAACCTTGGTAATCTCCATTGTGTTCCATTGTCCAGTTTTGCAAATGGACACTTGTTTTCTAGTGGTCCAGACCAAAGTGCACAGCGACGCTGTCACCTTTACCCGCCTGAGCCTCCTGAGGTTGAGTTTTTTGTCCTTTTGGGAGAACTGAGACCAGTGTCCACTGGCAGAGTACATATTTACCGACCCACATATCACTCTCACCTCCTAGAATGAAATAAAAAGTTCAGTTAAGCAGGATGATTAGGTTCTAGAGCTCTGTTGTACAACTTCGTACCCTTAGGCAACAGTAATGTCTGTTTAAAAATTTAAGAAGGTAGGTCTCATGCTACATGTTCTTACAATAAAAGTAAACAAACAAAACCCAAGCCAAAATGGCTACCACAATAATCTTTCCTCCTGAATTTCATGCCAAAGGATAGACTGTTCCTGTGTATGGCTTTAGAAGGGGAGGTTTGAAGCTTGGTCCCAAGACTGTCAGCATCAGTCTCTTTATGAACTTGGACAGAGTGAAGGACAGTTGGGGGATAATTGAGCCATATGGATCAGGTTTCCAGTATGAACAAAGATAGCAAGAACTGCATGGTAATCACGTCAGTGTGGGGCCTTCCCTTCTCCCTGATCCCTAAGGAGTCCTGAAATAGTTGGACAGAAAGGGAGCAGCCTAGAAAGGAAGGCGTTGATGAGAAGTCCCAAGGTGGAGGTACCCTGTCTGTCTGCAGCTGGTGCTCGAGCTGAAAGGGAAGCAGGCCAGTGGAAAGAGCGTGGGCCCTGGAGCCGGGCAGACCTGATTGGCATCTCGGTTCAGTCTCTTCCAGGCACTGTGACTCTGGGCAAGTTCCTGAACCTCATTTTCTTCCTTTCGCCTACCAGGGAGTTAGAAAGAGTTGATGTCTGCCGCACAGAATGTATTAATTGTTAATCTTAACAAGCCTCCAAGTTTAGTGGTGATATTCTCATTTCACAGATTAAGAAACTTGTGTGAAAGTTTCATTAGGATTGCCTGGGACTGACCAGTGCCAGCACACTGAATACCTGTTTTTTAAGGACTTAAAAATTACAGTAGTTATGGTCTCCTCCTGATTTTGTAAATTGCAGAAAATTTGGAAAAATTGCAATGTATATAAAAGAAAATAAACTAATCCCTTCCTAAACAAAGCACGTACTTAGGAGTTTTGTTTTTTTGCTTTTTGGTGGCTGGCCAGTTGTATTAGTCCATTTCTATTGCTTATAACAGAATACCTGAAACTGGGTAATTTGGTTTTGGGCAGCTGACTGGTACAAGTATCAAACCCTGGAGAAAGTAGGTAATTTATAAAGGAGCAAAATTTATTTCCTAATTTTTATAAGTTTTGGAGGCCAGGATGTCCAAAGTTTGGGGGACACATCTGGTGGTCTTTTTCTGGGTGGTGACTCTACAGCAATGCAGGGTGTCACATAGCGAGAAAAAATGTCCTGCTCAAGAAAGAGCTAACCTCCTCACTGGCTCTCCTTGTAAAGCCATCAGAACTACGCCCACGATGGCCCATTAAACCATCAACTCATTACTTGGTGAATGGATCAGCCCATTCACAAGGGCAGCCCTCCTGATCCAATTGCCTCTTAAAGGCCCTGCCTTTCAAATACCATAATTGATTTCCTACCCTCTTAACACTGTTGTAATGAAGATCAGGTTTCCAAAACATGAACTTTTGGGGGATACAGTTGACCCATACAGTTGACCCGTAACAGTGGTACAGGGATTGAACCCTTGACCTTGGTGTTATCAGCACCATGCTTTAACCAACTGATCTAACTGGCCAGCCCTTAGATACTATTTTATATATATAATATTATATTACAGGTGGTAATACAGCTTGGCAGGGCTGTTAAAACATCGCCTCTGAAGCCAGGCTGCCTAAGTTCAAATTACATCTCTGCCCTTCCTTATTAACTGTGTGATCTTTGGTTCAATTCCTTAGCCTCTCTATCCCAGTCCCCTCCCTCTATGAAATAGGATTAAGCACAGAAGCTATCTTATAGTCATGTTATGAAGGTGTAAGGCGCTTAGAACATGTAACGTGCTTAGAACAGTGCCTGGCACACTGAAAACTTATTATAGTCATAATTTCATAATATATAATCATATCCATATCCATCATATATTATTAAATTATTATTAAAGCTGATTTTAGCTGTCTCATACTATTCCGTTGTGTGGACATACCATAATTCACCTGGAAACCTTGCTCTTTCATTATCTCGAGCATGCCAGTGTACAGCATAGAGACAAGGTCCAATTCACTGGCATCTTTTCTTTCAGACAAAAGGCAGAATGTTAAGAATCCTTTCCCTGTTCCTCAGCTCCGTGCCAGACTGTGACTCACATCTGACCAGTGTGATTCGTTTTCTGGCTGTCATCAGAAATTTTGAGCATCAAGATCCCACTTTGTTCTTGTAGCCCTGGTTCCGGCTTTGGAAAGCGTGGCCTTTCAGTCCTGCTCATGAAGCACAAGTGTACTTCATGCATATCAGTCTCACAGAGACTCCAAGGTCAGGAGTTTTTGTGACAGTGGAGCTGCTGGGGTTTCATCTGCAAATGAAAACCACCTGGCCAGCTGCTTGGGTCAGATGGAAGCCAGATGGGAGAAGCCAGGAGGGGCAGCGGGCACAGTGTCCCAGCATCCCAGCGGTGTGTCAGTTTCACACCTCTTCTTGCCTCTCCGGCCTGCAAGTGATTGCTTTTAACCCATCCCCTCCAGTGCTCAGGTAGTTCCAGGCTACAGGGTTCTCTCAACCAGGTCGTGGCCAGCCCAGAAGATGTGACCCAGAACCTGGAAAGGTGACATGCACATCAGATCTGACTGGAGAGGAGGAGCAGCAGGTGGCCAAGTCACCGTTAGGGTCAAAATATTAACTGTCACGGTAAAGGGAGATGGTAGAGACAGTAAATAGCAAATTGATGGGATCCACATGGTGCATGGGTAGGGTAGATCCTTTGGATGTGAGCAAAGCCAGTGGTTAAATGACAGACAGTGGAAACAGTGTTCCCCCAGAAAGTGTGTTGGGAAAGTAACAACTGTTGCCAAACTAGGGAGTAAAGTTGGTCTGGTCACCAGGCAAATAGTGATGTGAATCATCTGCAGTCGAATGGGGGAAAAAAAACCATGTTTAACGTAGGTAAGTAGGTAAGTGACGCCGAGACACTTGGCATTTTCCTTTGGTCCAGATTGTCGCAACTGTAACCATGTTTGAGGAAATGGCTTGCGAGTTCTTACCTCTGGGTTTTGTGGATTAAGGAGGTTGCTGGAGAGGGAAGTAATGTGTTAATTTCCATCTCTAAGCACTCTTCAACTTGGGGCAATGAAAGTGGAAAAATATTAGGTAAATGCTCACCCCGGCGGGTAGAAGGGAGGAGGAGAGGAGATAGCCTCCCTTTCACATTGATTTACAGCTAGGAATAAGGTTCTGCTTGGAAAAGGAAAAATCCTCTCCCAGGTGGGAAGTGCCTGGAGAGATGTTTACATTACCTTTGGAGTGGCCCCCCCACCCCTCCTTCCTGTGCCAGCTGCCCTGCATGCCGTTGAAGCCCCTATCTGACCTTGATTACTTGGCTAGTTTTTGGCTTCCCATCTCTGCAGACCATGGCCCCTTGATGCTTGATTAGCTGGTAGGTCGGCTGGCTAGTAACTCTCCAGAAGAAAAGCCCACCCACATCAGACTGAGCACCACTGCTGCGCCCCCGCCTCCGTGAGTAGCTGTCTCCACCCTTATTCCCTTACACTAAAGACAGCTTTTAGATGGCAGATGAGCTAGAGTGCCGACGTTAGAGAGCAACTTCGAATCTGTTGTAATCCTTAAACCTAAACCAAACTTTATGCTTAAGCTATCTGCAACGGACAGTAGTTAAGGTGGCACTAGCTCATGGGTATGGAATAGCATTCCAGTGAGGCGGAGAGGAGCAGAGGCTTGCACGCTGCTGGGGCTGTGTTGGACTAGGCCCGCGAGCCTTGCCTTCCTCCACTAGCTCTCAGTGGAACCTTGGCCGCACTGCTCTGGCCCTGATCTCGGGGTTTGGTCCCCGAGGGGCATGTATGTTCAGTTGGCCTGCCAGCCAGGATCATTTGGCTGGGTGGTTGCAGCCACAGAGCTCTCTTAAGAAGGCACACAAAGAAAGATCTTGTGGTTCCAGCTTCCTTCTAGGTGATACAGGGTTTCCTTAAGAATTGGGCCCGGTGATGCCCACCGTCTCTGTCTAGGCCAAGTTTTAAATTTGTCAGTGTTTTTTTCCTTCACATTAAAACAAAGCAGCAACAACTACAAAATCCTCACCCCACAAAGGATAATCAAAGTTTTATACACTCTGGGTAGTAGTGGTTCTTCTCAGTGAGGTCTGGGAGGGGGCCCACCATAATCTCAAGTGTGGTGACTGTCATTTTTTGGGAAGTGAGGTTGTAATTTGGGATAACATTCAGTATTAGGATTTTGTGTCTGGAAAGTAAAGTAGAGCCTAGTTTTTACACAGCACAAACCCTAGAGGGTAAAGTTGACAAAATCCAAGTGGCAGGTGGACCATAGATTTTTAGAAATTGAGAAATACTGTGATGAAATATGGAGTTCAGGAAATATGATTAAAGGAGAAAAACTCAGACTTCCTACTCAAAGAAAAACATGGAGCATTTTTATACATTGTCTTTCTCTAGGACTTGGGCATTTTTTACTCAGTGGAGATTAAATTTTTATATCCAGTTTCACTACTTTAACATAAAATAGATACTGTCCCATGTTTTTAACACTCTGCAGACTTTGTAATGGTTACAGAATGTTTAATCACTTCCTTGTCATTGGGGAGGTTATTTCCATTTTTTTACAGTGGGCATCTTTGTGCGTTAGCTTGACAGATTTCTTTAGGGTAGATTTCTAGAAGAGTAGAAACACTTTAAAAGCTTTTCATACACAATGGCCAATTACTTTCGAAGAGAATTGTACCCAAATTTATACCTTTTCAGGCCTCCAAATTGCTTTTGTAGTCTGTAATCATTGTGCCTTTTATATAATGTATAATCTTCCACTCACCTCTTCCTAATATTGTCATATTTACTCATTTTAACTTTTTAGCCTGCTTCTTTTTCCCTTTAGGTGAGTACTTCCAGGGAGTAACATCTTGTCAGGGCGGCTTTAAAGTTTCTGTTGAGTGAGAGCAAAATGTGCTCAGTTGTCTTACACACGGCACGTCCTGAACTTTGTAAAATATCTGGGCAATTTGGCCAGTGCTGTCTCCTTTGTCACTTGTCCTTGCAGTGAACATGGCAGCTCAGTCGAGCCTTCGGAAGGAAGCCTTTTCATGGCTGGTGCTTTTCCTGTGTCCTGTGTAGACTGAAACTGACGTCCCTCATGTTTTCTGGTGAGCCTCTCTGTCCAGGGCTGTTTGTCCAGGGGAGTGCCAAGAGGCCACCAGCTTCCTCTGTTACTACCATGTGGCTTGCCATGTGCTCTTGAGAACAGAGCCTTCCTCACAGATCATCACTGTCTCTGCTTCTAGTCTAGATGGTGCTTCATTTTTCCAATTGCTTTATGGAGGTATGATTTACATATCATTAAATCCCCCAGCGTTAAGTGTACAATATGGTTTCATAAATTTTTAGTAAATTTACAGTTGTGCACCCCTAACCACAATTCCATTTTAGAACATTTCCATCACCCCAAAAAGACCCCTGCGTCCGTCTGCAGTTCTCTCCATTCCCACCTCTGCACTGGGCAACCGCTAACTTTCTGTGGGGCCGTTTTATATCTATGGAATCATGCCGATTATTCTTAAAAGAAATTATTTGATTCTAAAAGTAATGCTTGTTGGAAAAATGGAAACCAAATTATTATTGTTAGTTAACTTTGGGGAATCTGGGTGGTAGGATCGTTGGGGAACTTTTCATTTTCTGTAATGCTTAAATTTTTTAGAGAGCCTGTATTACATTTATAATCAGAAGAAAAGGGAAAAGGAAAAATGCATGTTTTATTTGTGGGAAATGCAAAAATATATATGTAATGAGAATTTTTTTTAAAGTCACTCAAAATTACCCCTTATGGATAAAACCATTTATACTTTTTTTGTGATGTTTTTCCCCCAGTCTCTCTGAGCTTATTTTTAAAATATAGCTTTCATATTTTAAATTTGCATCTTGCTTTTTTCTATTGGCATCAAACAAGTCTTTTTCCCACTATGTAAACTTCCCATTAATGACTGTATGGTGCTTCATCTTATGGTTGTACCATGATTTACTTATGTTAGACATTAAGGTTGTTTTCATTTTGCTGTTGTAAAGAACACTGAAATGGATATCTTTGGGTCAAAGGCTTGTGTAGGCCCTTTGCAGAATTCCTGGGTCAAAGGGTTTGTACCTTTAAAATAATTTTTTTTTCCTTTCTATTTGGAACTGTTTTGCAAAATCGCTTTCTAGATAGCTTCTCTGAATTTCACCTACTCCTTGAAGTTACTCATCTTGGCCCCAGGATTGGGTCTAGATTCCCAGGAGCTGGCTCCTTTCATCTGGTTGAGGTACAAAGTGGTGGAAATGAGAGAAAAGCAAACCGGGGTAGTGAGCATGGCAGTGCCCTTGGGAGCCAGGAAAGCAGTTTGTCTTAACAAGATCTTCTGTCTAGATAGGGCTTAGGTACCTCATGTTTTCTGTACATAATCTCCTTGTGTTCATCATTAGTTTTTAGTAAAGGTTTGTATGTTTATGTAGGTTAGAAAATGTTATAGTTGGAAGAGAGTTTTGATCAGATTCAGGCCAGAGTTGCCACAGGGTGGGCATCTGTGATACCTGGCTGCTGGGACGTTGGAAAGAAACTGAGGGTCAGCCCCAGGGGACACGCAGACTGCAGGGGAGAGAGGTTGAGGCCAGTTACACACCTTCCCCTATGTACAGGAGACTCTCCTGCCAGAGTTTTTCAGGAGTAAAAACCTGAACAGAAGTGTTTAACCTAGGATATTTGGGGGATCAGATGGGCCCATGAACCCACCAAGTGTTTCATTCAAACTTTTATGTGTTTGTGCATTTCTCTGGGGACAGGGTCCGTCACTTTCATCTTTAGGTGCTAGAGGGCTTTGTGTCTTCCTTGATGGGGAAGGCTTTGTCTGGTCACGTGCTCACACCACTGCCCTCGTGTGTCCACAGTCAAGTGACCTGGCCTCTCTGCACCTTGGCGTCCTTATTTGTAAAGTGCCTGACACGGTGTCTGGCACGCTGGAGGCACTCAATGTCACATTTGCATTTTGGCTCAGGTAGTTTTTCAAGGCAGCTGTGAACCAGAAACTTGCCTAAGCATCCTTAAGTCTCCATAAAGCAGGGCCCTTACTCAGGTGGCGTGAATGTGGTTCTGTTATACAGTATCTTGTAACTTTAAGAAGTGGATTTTTAAGAATCCTTTTATAAAAGTAAGAACTGCTCATTATTGAGAAGGGTGTAATTACTATTTTAAGGTTTTTTTTGGGGGGGGTGGGGGGGGTATGAAATCAAACCAGTGCTAGACATCTCCCTGTTCACCCTTCTGGACACTGATAGGATGAATACAAATAACCAAGACCTCTTTTAGTGCAGAGGGTGTGGAGTTAGTCTCCACTGCACAGAGGAGCTGTATTTTCATAATGTGTAGAAGGCAGCCAAACTAAAGCCAGAAGCAACAGAACTTTCTAGAGTGCCTGTGGCATCTTTACTAGAAACCGGTGAAGGAAAGCTTTCCAAGGTGAAGGGTTTTTTTGGTGATTTTTGAGGATCCTGTGTTTTTTTATTTTTTCAAAGCAGCTGGGCTGCTGTGAAGCTGCATTTAGGGTTTCCTTTGGCC